CACCGAACAAGGAAGTACCGAATATAATGGCCTTTGCACCGAATATAAGGAAGAGAGCACCGAATATAATAGTGTTAGCATCCGTAATAATGAAGAAAACACCAAACAAAGTTAGAACCGAATATAACGAAGAAAGCACCGAATATAATAAAGACAGCACCAAATATAATGAAAAAAGCACCGAATACAACGAAGAAAGCACCGAATATAACAAGGGAAGCACCGAATATAATGGAATAAGCACCGAGTATAATGGAATAAGCACCGAGTATAATGAGTTAATCGCCGAATATAATAACATAAGTACTAAATATAATGACATAACCACCCAATATAATAAAAAAAAGTATCTGACAGTTCTGGCGTTCCGGCGTTCCATAGCACAACGTGGTGCTCCTTTTGTCAGTGCAAAGAAAACGTTATTGAGTATTTTCAATATGTGTCAAAATAAACGACTCTAATACTGCCTTAATTCCAATTTTTTAGTTCCGTAGTGGGTGATGACGAAACCCTAAACCATGAAGCCGTCCTCTGCGCCAACTCTTGCCTAAGCATTTTGAAGGCAGTGCTTTCCCATCCAAGGTGTGATTCCGTTCTGCTGTATGACTGTCTGGAAGCAATTGAAATATGCGCTGCCAAACTGAAAACTGAAGCTGTTGAAGGTGAAGCGAACCGAGATGCAGGACACCTGAGCAGAATTGCAGAGGAAACCATTCGTGTGGTGAGGAAATGGTTGAAGCAAGTGTTGCAGGATAAAGTTCCATGCTACAATGATTCTTCAAAGCGTGAAGAACTTACGGTATGGACTTGTTTTATCTTGTTCTCTAGTAACTTTCACAGGTTCTAAATTTCATGAAAATAACAAGTCAAATTTTTCACAGTTTGATGCAAGCCTATTGCAAGAAAGTTTGCACCTAAATGACTTACAATTTCTTGAAGAAACATTACCATTGACCCATCCTTCACTTAACGTTAAAGCTAAAACATAAGTTTAACAAAGCAGCCTAATATTTAAAGTGTCAAAGTGCAAAGCAGAGAATACCTAGTTCACTTGTCTTCCTGCGCATCGAAGTCACATATTAATCTTAGACCGAAATGTAATCGTTTTTATTCACTACAAGCGACAATTCACACTTAACTGAAACAATTACGGGAGGCTTCATTGCTCATATCACACTTTTTACTTTATTTGTGCAATAGGTTGTTAAATGTTAGAACTTTTAATTTTCATGGCACCTCTTTCGCGAGTCCTAATTCCGGAGATTTTTTTCAAAACCACGTAAGTCTCGAAAATCAACTCTTTGGAATTAAGTGACAATAAGAAACTCTAATACCTGATATGGGTTTAGTATTTTATGCTAGTTTATTCTGTTGGTGTATTAAAACATTGAAGGCTGCCTTTGTCTCTGATTTGCAAACTCTTACATGTATGTTCTTTTAGCATCCTTATAGATTGTTGTTTGTGCTGACAAACTATGGTCTGTTGCATAGCTTTTACATTACTTTGCGCACACTCCATTTGTTTGGTAGCAAAATTTAAATCTGATATTGAGATTTAATGAAAACCAAACAAACCCGGGTAAAGAGTTGCATACAATACTTCTGCCTCTAATCATACATTTAAGTAATAGGCCATTTCCGAGTTACCTTGTGCCTCTGTTTCAAAACTAGTCCTCATGCAGAACCTTTCACATGAAAATAAGTTTGATTTGCCTTAAAATGAACAGGCAGGGGAAGTACATTTCCATATGAATGGTTTCGCACGAAGACTCGTTTTGACACAAAAGCAAAAGGCAACTCGGAAATGGTATATTATTAAAGTGGGCACAGCAGACGCCCAACTGACATTGCATGGACTGCGTCCATTAACGTAACAATCAATACACATTTAAAAGGTCAGGAACTTTTAGGCCACTTAGACCGCGGGGATTGGAACAGAAGGTGATAGTAAATAAAACACTCTTATGGTTCTCAGCTAATTGGCAACTCAAGTTTTCTTGTCCATGCCTTGGTGGTACAATATAACACATGCCCATATGGTGTGACTATATTTTGTACAACCGTTTGCCATTTTGTTACTCTCTTGTTCTAATTTTTCGTTAGGTCTGGACTAAACTGTTTACTTTGTGTTGGACAAACAGCCAGGTCAATGAAATGTGGAGAAACCAACTTGTGGGCACTTTCACACAGCGTTTGGAGGAGGTAATATCATTGCTTGTGCTAATGTTACAGTAGGGTTTTGACGCTATCGTCTGTGAAACCCACAGACTAAGCATGTATCACTAAATTTGTAAAAACACACGTGTAAGCCTTTAAACGGAAAACTGATAAATTTTCTACATCCTGATTGTTGATAAATCCAGATAAAATTATATTTGCATAAGATATGTAATGTTCAGATTGTGTTGAATAAGTGTTCAACGATAAAAACATCCACAGTAACCACGTGGTGAAGCGTGGTGAAAATCTGAAAAGCGGATATAACTTAATGACCCGATGGATCCATTTGTGGTGCTTGGAGAGGGAACAAATTTAGGTCTGTGTTTTTGCCGCTTAGCACCTACAATATTACAATTACTCACTCAAGACCAAGCATGCATCCAAATTGTAAGAACGATTGACCAAATCCAGACATGTACTAGAAATGTACCCGTATAAGGTCTAGAATGGAAATACAGGAACAGCAACCTATCACTAACTGCTAATGGCTCAAAGCTACAA